TAAAAAAATTGAAAAAAAAAAAAGTACAAATCTATAAAGGAAACATATATGAATCCAATAAAAAGAAAAATCTTGGATATAGTCATATAGAGAACAGAAATAGGAACATAAATAAGTATAAAAAGAAGAAAAACTCGTACAAAGTGTAATTAGCTTATAAAAAGGGAAAAAAATTTTGTTTGCATGTAGAAAGTAGTAGGGTGAAGAGATATGATGTTGTCATATTTCTTAACTATGTCAATGACTGTGGAGACAAGAAAATCAAAGGTTTGTAGTCTCATTTACAAGCTAATTACTTTAATGTTCACTCTTCTAGTTTCTATAGCAATAACAAAAAAAGTATTTTATACCATGAAAATTATAAAAACGAGACTTCGCAGCAAAATGAAAGGTGAATCTCTCTCAAACTCTTTGATTGTTTATATTAAAAAAAAAAATAGTTCAATTATTTAGTGTAGACAATATTATAAATAAATTTTGTGATATAAATACTCATCAAATATTATTTTAATATATAATATGAAAATAAATTTCTAAAATTATAATATATTATTTTAAGATTTGAAAAGCCAAATTTTCCTAATTAAAATTCCTGACTCTGTCCCTTGTTGATTTGTCCTTTTATTCTTTTCATTTGACCACACTTGGGTCTGGGACGGACTAAGTATCTCATTCGGTAATGCCCGCGTTGTATTATAAATATCTCATTTCACCAATGCACGCAATATTAAGAGAAACATTAACTTTCTTTCCAAAAATTTCTTTTCTCAAAGGCTTTTCATCATGGAACTTTCACTTTCTTCCATCCAAGCTCTAGTTAAGGAAATCAAGGAAGAGATGTTCTTAAACATCGATCCTTACTCATTTGTTTCTCCTTCTGCGTATGACACTGCATGGCTAGCCATGGTTCCAGATCCTCAGGAACCAGGTCAACCAATGTTCAAAGGGTGCTTGGATTGGGTACTGAATAACCAGAGAGAAGAAGGGTTCTGGGGAGAGTGTGATGGCCATGGCATGCCCACCATCGAGTCTCTTCCAGCAACTCTTGCATGTGTAGTCGCACTCAAGAAGTGGAATGCTGGGACAAAGGAAGTGGAAAGAGGTGATTACACGTGTGAATAGGCTTGTACGATTTAACTATTAGGGAACAGCTCATCGTAGCTGTTTTCTCTTTTCTTTTTTTTTCGAAAGGCAAACATTTTTTTTGTTTTTTTTAAGTGATTACAGCTGTTTTCTCTAATTGATCAAGTTTCCTCTAAATTGTAAAATAAACAAGTATATATATATACATAAGATTTCAATATTATAAGTTATACATAACTTAATTAAGTTTTAATTTATATTTATGTACCTGAATTTCATTTCTATATCTTACAACTTTTTCTTTCTTGATATAGGATTGGAATTTGTGGATGGAAACACTGAAAAGCTTCTTGGTGATGATCATTTTCCTCGGTGGTTTGCCATTATTTTCCCCGGAATGATTGATCTCGCGCATGAAGTTGGTCTAGAGCTTGCCTTTCCTAAGCAACTAGGACTATCAATGAACATTTATAGTGAAAGGCAAAGCATTCTTGAAACGTACGATATTCTTTTACCTTTGTTAATTTATATAATTAAAATTTAGAGACTATTGTTAAAATTTTCATTTCTCAAAAAAAAAAAAAAATTGTTATCCACTTCATTCAGCACTTAAAAACATTAGTTGGAGACCCGAAAAAATAAAAATACCCATTAAGTGCAATAGATTGTAAAAAACATTTATGTTACACATTTATTTAATAGATTGTAAAATTCGTTAATGCAGGGAGGAACTGGTTGGAGAACAATATCCTCCATTGCTATCATATCTTGAAGTTCTAACACCAGCTGATGATAATCTTATTAAAGAAAGCTTGACCAAGCACTTAAGCTTGGATGGCTCGTTATTCCACTCCCCCGCCGCTACAGCTCGAGCATTCATGGCCACGCGAGAGAGAGAGAGTGCTTAGCTTATTTGCAAGCTCTCGTTCAAAGATGCCCTAATGGAGGTCAGCAAAATTTTCTATAGCAATTAATGCATGCATCTTTTGGGACACATATCCTCAAACAATACTTTCGTTTCGAAGAAGGGTAATCTCTAGTAGAAAGTTAGAGGTGCTCCAACTAAAATGAATAGAATTCCGTTCATTTTCTCTTTATTTTAAACCAACCTCTTCATTTTACTCTGTTGAAAAAAATAATCCATGTAATTTTTTAATATAAATTTTTAGTTTTACTGAAAATTAAATGTTAATTAATTAACTTGAGTGCAGTTCCACCAACATATCCTATGGATGAAGATCTAATACAACTTTGCATGGTGAATCAACTTCAAAGATTAGGGTTAGCCGACCATTTCACTCAAGAAATTGACCATAGTTTGGCCCATATTCACAGGTAAAAAAATTACAAACACAAAAATTATGTATAAAAGATAAGTAATAACCTTTTTGTTGTAATGAAAATCATTTGAAATAGGAATTATCACAATCAAGAATCCAAGGGAGGATCAAGAAGTGCAATTGCAACTCAGCTACATAAGGATTCTTTAGCATTTCGGCTTCTCCGTATGCATGGTTACACCGTATCTCCATGTATGGTTCTTGTAAATTAAATATGTATGCACGCACGCACGCACGCACAGAGGCAGAGGGAAGGGTGGCGGCCGTCCCCCACAACTTTTGAAAATTTTAAAATTTAGTACATATTATTATTATTTTCAGTTCTTAAATATTATATTTATTGTGAAAATTTTTAAGTTATTCTCAATTAACTATTTATAATTTTTCATATTTAATAACTCAAGACAAATATAATTTATAATATTTTTATTTTAAATATAATCACCAAAATATTAAAACTTAAATAAATATTTTATAAAGGATGAAAATATTATAACCTAAATAAATGCAACTTGCATCAAGGCTCTTAAATTTTTTTAATAGACCAAATAGAGTTTATTTATTATTTTAAAGTATAAACAATAATCCTACCCATACTTTACAAATCCAGGCTTTTAATTAAAGTCAAATTCAAAAACATTTTCCCTTTAAGTTTTCTAATTTTTGTTTTAGGATTTTATTTTTAAATTTTTCTCATTTAGTCTAGAAAGTGATTGAATTAACGAAAACTTTAATTGATAAAAAGGTTTGAATATTTAATTTAGTTAATATTTTCAACTTTCAAGTACTAAATTGCGTGTTCCATCTTTTCATATTGTTTAATTCTTTAGGATGAAAAAAGATATTTTTTAATAAAAAAATTAGTAAAAAAAAATAAAGACATTTTTGGATGGAAAGTATACTTTGTTGAAAAAAAATAGTATGTACTTTAAACAGTTAGATTTATTAATATGTCAACGTGCAGGGAGCTTCTGTTGCTTTTCAAACGATGAAAAAGTTCGAGATCATATACAGAAGAATTTTGAATTCTTCTCAAGTGTAATGTTGAATGTTCATAGAGCCACAGATCTTATGTTTCCAAGAGAATACGAACTCGAAGAGGCAAGATCCTTTTCAAGGAAATTACTTGAGAAATACGTATCAATAGGAAATGGAGAGCGGTCTTTCCTCAAAACAATGGTACTTATAATATTAATATATATATATATGAACTAGTTAATTACTTTTATTATTTCCAAAAAATTAAAAAACTAATGATTTTATAGAAGGCATAAGCTTTTTGAACTTGGAAATTAAATGTTGCATAGATCGAGCATGAGCTAAGTGTTCCATGGATTGCTCGACTGGATCACTTGGAACACAGAATGTGGGTTGAAGACAAAGATATGAATGCATTGTGGGCTGGAAAGACTTCCTTCCATAGGTATTAAGGCTTCTAGTCTCAAATAAGTTAGTGGTTTTGCAATTTAAATTAGGTTAAACTTCAAAAACATGACTATTAAATGGGAAGGGTCAGTTTCAACATTAAAGGAACCACCCCATCTGATAATCAGAGTTTTGAACAATTCAAATTGTATGAAACATTTTTGTTATATAATTAACCAACAAACAAAATTTTTGGTATTGAACTAACCAGGTTGTCAAGCTTTCGAAACGAGAAGCTAAAGAAACTTGCAGCTAAGGATTATGAGTTTCGACAATCAATTTACAGGACAGAACTGGAGGAACTGACAAGGTGGTCTAGGAAATGGGGTCTTGTCAATTTGGGATTTGCTAGAGAGAAAACAACATATTGTTACTTTGCCATAGCAGCCTGCGTTTCTTTACCTTACAACTCTGCGTTAAGAATAATGGTTGCAAAGAGTGCGATTCTCATTACAATTGCTGATGATTTTTTTGATTCTCACGGTTCGCTACATGACCTCAAGACCCTCATCTCTGCAATTCAAAGGTAACACTTAACAAACTAAGGTTGTCGCAAGAGGTTAGGGCTATCATGAAACCCTCTCAAATTTCTTAAAACATTGTGTATGGACAGATGGGATGGCAAGAGCTTGAATGGGCATTGCAAAACTATCTTTGATGTCCTTGATGATCTTGTGAAAGAAATTGCGGTAAAACACCTCCATAGTCAAGGGTCAGATATAACAAACCATCTGCAACACCTAGTAAGTTTATAAACCCTTAACTTCTTGTAGCTTCTTGTCTTTTGAAGGAATGTGTAAGAAACAGTCTCTTCTTGTTGGTGGTATGTGAAGTGGTATGAAACATTTGTTTCATGGCTGGTGGAAGCTCAATGGAGTAAGAGTCAATGCGTGCCATCAATGGAAGAATACCTTGCAATTGGCATGACATCCATTGCTGCACATACACTAGTTCTTCCAATTTCTTGTTTCTTGACTCCAAGCATTCCGAATCACAAACTCCAACCAAACCAATATGAGACACTCACCAAATTGCTCATGCTCATAACTCGCTTGTTGAATGACATTCAAAGCTACCAGGTAAAAGAAAATGGAAATTCGTTGTAGATTGTTTCGTTTCTAATTTTCCTTTTTCTTTGGAAAATGATAATATCATTTGCTATAACAGAAAGAAGAAGAGCAAGGAAAATTGAACACAGTGCTGCTATATTTGAAAGAAAATCCTGAGGCAGATATTGAAGACTCAATTGCTTATGTGAAAGGAATGCTAGAGACGAAGAAGAAAGAACTACTCCAGCATGCTTTCATTGATGGTTTTAGTGATCTGCCAAAACATTGCAAGCAGCTTCATCTATCATGCCTGAAAGTATTTGCGATGTTCTTCCATTCAAGCAACCGATATGATAAAGAGGACACGGGGATGCTTAAAGACATTCAACAAGCAATCTATTGTCCTCTACATGTTGGAAGAACATCAAAGGTATTGACAAAGAAGCCTCTTGCTTCTTATTCTGGTTCAAAAGAACATAGAATAATCAACTATGAATTTGGTCAGCGCTCCAAATATCACAGCAGGAGAGTCATAGCCAGACCTTTCTCGCCAATACCAAGGCGTGGATGTGATATTTTGTTCATGCCACCAAAATTTAGACTGTCTTTAGTTTGAAACAGTTTTTACTAGGTGAAACATCGCAAAAGTAGTATATCATCTTCTTACGAGAATATTTACAGTTTATGTCAAATTTAATTTGACTTCTTCTTCCTGTAACTTACTCTGTTTTTCGGTTTTGCTCTGTTTTTCTGTTTTACTTTTTCTGTTTTCCTTTTTCTGTTTTTTCTTGATTTCCTCATCTTTTTGTGCAACTGCTGTATCCTACTACCTGTATATATACAGTTACCTGTATATATACAGTTGAGAAGCAATAAAACTGATATAGAAATTCCACCATATTTTACACATCTCTTGTGCAATAATGTTCTCAATGAATGTCATGTACCCTTGTTTTCTTCAATATCTATGCAATAAGAAAAATGGAAATCCTGAACAAAGACCCTGGTGAAGTGATCATCCTCTCCTTTCAAGGGATGATTGTGTTGAAATATGTTGGTCCCTTGTAAGTGCAAAGAATTTGAGTCCGACATTGAAGAAATATAGGAAGAAAGAATGGTTTAAATGTATTAAGACTCATTCAAATTGTAAGACAACAATTTTTTTGTTACAATATGGTGTTAAAACATGTGATGAACTATTAATGTCCCCACCATAAAACAAATGTCTCCAAAAAAGTTGTATTAAACAGACCAATTGTTTTATTGCCTCCTCTTATTTTGCGAGTCTATAATGTATTCTAAGACACCACATACAGAAAATTCATATTATTTCCATAAGCAAACACAGTAAGTTAAGGAAACCATTTTCGACGGGAGAACAACACTCACATAAGGCCCTATTACCTATAGAAGCACAATCCTTGAGGATCAGTTAACTAAACGGATTATCGAGATGAAGGTGGAGACTTTCCAAGGAGAAAGGATTTGAAGAATGCAAGTGAGCTGCTTGGTTTGAAGCAGGGCACT